AACCTCGATTGAAGCTGGGCCGATCTGACTATCACGGATGTTCGGTAGTGTTTAAATTTTATTTATTTTACTATAAATCCAAATCACTTGAAATTTTAGGCATGTATTTATCAAAAATAGGTGAATCTTTTAAAAATATATATAAAAAAATATTTTACATGAAATAAATTGACCAAAATACCCCCAAAAATGTTTAGGGGTATTTTGGTCATTTTATTTTTTTACAAATATTTTATTTTTTATTAAGTGTGCCTTGATGATTAAAATACACACCTAAAATTTCAAGTGATTTAGATTTGTAGAAAAATAAATAAAATTCAAGTACTACATGACATCCATGATCGTCAGATCTCATATGTTCATATGAGCTAGTGGGCTAATCTCAGATTTTCAAGAAAATTCTAGGTATATGGAAGACTTCTAAAGTACCTTCAAGACTTCAAAGTACAAAAAATATTATAATGGGACATTTCATTAGCTGGCTACTTAATAGAGTAGCTTCAAAGTACAAAAACTATTATAATGGGACATTTCATTAGCTAGCTACTTGAGAGAGAAGCTTCAAAGTACAAATATACATAACAATTGAAAGATACAACTAAATCACTTTCTTCGCCTCAACTATTTTTTTGGCCAGCTTGTAATACCATTTCCCTTTACATCTACCTGGACATCTCCATCTCTTTGTGATCACAAATGATGCCTTGATTCCTCCTGTAAGGCTAGTACAGCTTGAATTTGCAAGCTTCTACTATTGTCATTTTTGCTCTTTGTTTTCCTCTCATCTCCGTCTTCAATGTCGCTTTCATCCTCACCCTCCTCAGTCTCGTTTTTCTCATCTTCCTCCTCAGTCTCGTTTTCTTCATCTCCATCATCTCTCACCTCACTCTCGTTTTTATCATCTCCACCATCTCTCTCTTCGTGCTCGTTTCCACCATCTCCCTCTACCCTCCTCGGCATTTGTCTCCATAGAAGTATTTTGTAATAGTAACTCATGTGTCGCTTGTACGTAATGTCTTGATTCACCTGCTAATATTTCACCCCTAAGTGCAGCTTGTAGCATCCCTCAACAGGTTAATCGCTGCAGGTAGACAATAAAAAACAAAATAAAAAATTATGTTGAATGCATATGAAGTCAATAAAAAAAAAATATACACAAATTACATAATATACCAATATCCTCTCGTCATGATGGTCTGCGATAGGGGGTAAATGGGATTATGACTGCGAGCGGGGGCACATCGGAGTATTTCTATAATTTGATTGCGACTGCGGGGGGGTGGGGGCACATTGAAGTATTTTTATATCTATAGGTGAACATGTTGTACCAGCTCATATATTCATTTGTAGGCATTCCACCATATTTATCCACGTCTGCCTTGACAATGTTACATTCTCGTTGCCGACAATCATTTATCTCGACACTCAACTCGTCAATCCAACTTGTGGGATGTAAGCTGATATTTTCCCTCCTATCCCACTTAGGTGGCCCAACAGGAATCGTTTGCATCATCCCAAATTGCCACAATACACGATCAAGCATATAGAACTCTGCAATGT